CCTAAAGTGTTTTGATAGTAAAAGAGCGCCTACAAAGCTCATATTAAGACGCAGAGGCCCTCATAGTCGTTTACAGGTGCGAAAAATCGGCTTCCTCAAAATAAATGGTCAAATATCTTTCAAGCACCCAAAAGTTGTCACTTTGTCCTTTCTGGTCGGGTCGACCAACTAGCTCCACCCCGCGCCGGAATTCCCCTAGCTCATCGATGTCGAAGAGCTCCACGAGGTACTCGGAAAGAGAAAACATGATTTTTTATGTCGACATAAAGTTGGTTTCGCCAAGTGTTTTGATTGTAAAAGTGCATCTAGAGAGCTCATATTGAGACGCAGAGGCCCTCATAGTCGTCTACAGGTGCGAAAAATCTGCGTTCTCAAAATAAACGGTCAAATATCTTTCAAAAAATCGCAAAACCACCCAAAAGTTGTCACTTTGTCCATCGGGGCCGGGTCGGCCAACTAGCTCCACCCCGCGCCGGAATTCCTCTAGCTCATCGATGACGAAGAGCTCTACGAGGTACTGGGCGCCGGCGGTAAACCGTCAACCTTTCTTACCGCCGGGGGACTCGTAGAGCTTCCTGACAATATATAATGTCGAAAAAAACTGTAGAGAACGAATAGTTTTTCAGCCCAAGCGATTTCAGACCTCTCGATGCAACAGCCGAACGCCCCCCGATGCTTCTGGATTGTCTTCTGTACGAGCTCTGTAGCTCTGCTGCAGCCCGAGTTACGTGCGTCAATCGACAGCACCTCTCAAGATGACTCGAACAAAACGAATAGTTTGGCAAACCCAGCTCGAGTATCAGACCGAGTTCAGACCTCTGAATGCAGTAGTGGGACGCGTCTGATGTCTCTGAATCGATTCCTGTGATTACCCGCCCTGCAGCCCACCTACAGCCCGAGTTAACTGCAGAAAGCCGACAGCATCTTTCAGGATGACTCGAACAATACAAACAGTTTCGCGGACCGAGTTCGGGCAGCAGACCGAGTTCCGAGTTCTGGATTCCACAGGCGGACGCGCCTGATGTCTCCAAATCGATTGCTGTCACCACCAGCACTGTAGCCCCCCTACAGCCCGAGTTAAATGCAGAAAACCGACAGCATCTCTCAAGATGACTCGAACAATACGAACAGTTTCGCGATTCTGGATCGGGCAGCAGACCGAGTTCAGAGCTCTGGATTCAACAGACAAACGCGACTGATGATTCTGAATCGGTTTCTGTAAGTACCAGCCCTGTAGCTGTCCTATAGCTCGAATTAAATACAGAAAACCGAGAGCGCCTGTCAAGATGACTCGAATAATACGAATAGGTTTGCAGACCTAGCTCGGCTAGCAGACCGAGTTCAGACCTCTGGTTGGAACAGCCGAACGCGCCTGATCATTCTGCATCGATAAGGTGTGCTTACCAGCTCTGTAGCTGTCTTATATCTCGAGTTAAGTTCAGTATACCGACAGCGCGAATCAAGATGACTCGAAACGGCCGATCCCGCCGCAGTGCTTTTTGGCAATAAAAGGTACCCGATCGAGCTCAGATCAAGATGGCGAGCGGGAATAAGATCGAATATCACGGGAAAAAATACTAGAGCTCTAACGAATGGTTGAATTTCGAGAACAAAATTTTGAACCGACCAAAATTCCTCAAAATGTCCGTCGAGATTTTTCTTGCCAACTGGCGCCGGCGGTGAACCGTCAACCTGGTCTTTTGCGTATTTTGCGAAGGCCGGTTCGAGCTCCCATGGGAGCAGGCCTAAACACAAAGAACCTAAGCAGCGAAGCTGCAAAGATTAAAGCAGAGGTGCATCAACAGCGAAGCTGTACAGATATGCACAAGACTGCACCCGTGAGGAAGCTCAGGATCGAAGCGGAGAGCTTCTGGAAGGTTTTCTAGAAAAACGTCAAATTGAGATTTTCGGAGTAAAGATGAAGTCGGTTCCCGGAAGTCAACTAATACTAAAACTGGCTCTATAGAGCTGAGCTGCTCAGGAAACAAATTTTATATGCCAATGCTCGGCGTAGAAATCTGCTTTTTCAAAATAAACTGGGCGCCGGCGGTAAACCGTCAACCTTCCTTACCGCCGGGGGACTCGCAGAGCTTCCTGGGCATATATAATGTCGAAAAAAATGCAGATAACGAATATTTTTTGAGGGCCTAAACGATTTCAGACCTCTCGATGCAACAGCCAAACGCCCCATCATGCTTCTGGATCGTTTTCTGTGCGCACGAGCTCGGTAGCTCTCCTACAGCCCGAGTTACGTGCGTAAATCGACAGCACCTCTCAAGATCACTCGAACAATACAAATAGTTTCGCGAATCGAGCTCGAGTCTCAGACCGAGTTCAGACATCTGAATGCGACAGGCAGACGCGCCTGACGTCTCCGAATCGATTCCTGTGAAAACCAGCCCTACAGCCCCCTAACAGCCCGAGTTAAGTGCAGAAAATCGACAGCACCTCTGAAGATGACTTGAACAATACGAATAGTTTCGCGGACCTAGCTCGGGCAGCAGGCCGAACTCAGGCTCTGAAGGCGACAGCTGGACGCGACTGATGTCTCTGAATCGACTCCAGGGATTACCAGCCCTCTAGCCCCCCTACAGCCCGAGTGAAGTGCGGAAAACGGACAGCACCTCTCAAGATGACTCGACGAATACGAACAGTTTTGCAAACCTAGCTCGGGCAGTACACCGAATTTCCGAGCTCTGGATTCGACAGGCGGACGCGCCTGATGTCTCCGAATCGATTCCTGTGAGTACGGGCCCTGTAGCCCCCCCACAGCCCGAGTGACAAAAAGCGTCCAGGCGGGATCGGCCGTTTCGAGTCATCTTGATACGCGCTGTCGGTATATTGTACTTAACTCGTGATACAGGACAGCTACAGAGCTGATAAGCACACCTTATCGATTCAGAATGATCAAGCGCGTTCGTCTGTTGCATCCAGAGGTCTGAACTCGGTCTGGTAGCCGAGCTAGGTCCGCAAACCTATTCGCCTTATTCGAGTCATCTTGGCAGGTGCTCTCGGTTTTCTGTACTTAGATGAGCTAGAGGAATTCCGGCGCGGGGTGGAGCTAGTTGGCCCACCCGGCCGAGGCGGACAATGTGACAACTTTTCGGTGGTTTTGCGAATATTTGAAAGATATTTGACAATTCATTTTGAGAACCCAGATTTTTCGCACCTGTAGTGAGTTATGCCGCACTCGCCAGTAGAATCTTCAGGTCCGTAGGTACAATATTACTATCAAAACACTTGGGGGAACCAACGTTGGGTGAAAACAGAAAAACGTGATTTTTCATTTTTTCGTTTCTCGCTCCAGAAGCTCTCTTGATGTATTACGAGAAGCGCGGTGTGAGAAAAGAGCTCTACGAGGGTCCCGGTGGTAACCTGGTTGACGGTTTACCGCCGGTTCCCAGTCTTGGCAGGTGCTCTCGGTTTTCTGTACTTAACTCGAGCTATAGGACAGCTACAGGGCTGATACTTACAGAAACCGATTCAGAATCATCAGTCGCGTTTGTCTGTTGAATCCAGAGCTCTGAGCTCGGTCTGCTGCCCGCTCTAGAATTGCGAAACTATTCGTATTGTTCGAGTCATCTTGAGAGGTGCTGTTGGTTTTCTGCACTTAACTCGGGCTGTGGGGGGCTACAGTGCTGGTAGTCACAGGAATCGATTCGTGGACATCAGGCGCGTGCAGGTATCGAATCCAGAACTCGGAACTCGGTCTGCTGCCCGAACTAGGTCCGCGAAACTGTTCGTATTCTTCGAGTCATCCTGAGATGCTCTCGGTTTTCTGCACTTAACTCGATCTCTAGGGAGCTGCAGGGGCTCGTAATCACAGGAATCGATTCGTAGATATCCGGTGCGTCCGTCTGTGGCATTCAGAGGCCTGAACTTGGTCTCAAACTCGAGCTAGATTTGCCAAAATATACGTGTTGTTCGAGTCATCTTCAGGGTTCCTGTGGATTTACGCACGTAACTCGGGCTGTAGCAGAGCTACAGAGCTCGTACGGAAGACAATCCAGAAGCATCGGGGGCGTTTGGCTGTTACATCGAGAGGTCTGAAATCGCTTGGACTGAAAAACTACTCGTTCTCTGCAATTTGTTCCCGACGTTATATATTGTCAGGGAGCTCTACGAGGGCGGTAAGAAAGGTTGAAGGTTTACCGCCGGCGCCCAGTTGCGATTGCGGGACTCAGACAGATCCCGGATTCAGACCTGTGTTCTATTTGTTCGTAAGGAGGGGAGGGAAGAGTGTCATCGAGTGCACGTTGATCGGGGTGATGATCCCTTCAGAATGAAGAGATATTGTGTCAAACGAGCGAAGGCTATCGATAGTTTAAGTTGCACACTTCAGAATTGCATGAGCCTAACGAAAGTGCGGTGGAGAGTACGGCAGTTTTATTACTGGCGCCCGCGGTGAACCGTCAACCTAGTCACCGCCGGGAACCTCGTAGAGCTCCTCACACTGGTAAGAGCGCTGAGAATCGAATATGAGAAAAAAATCAAAAGATTTTTCGGAAATTTATTTTTGATTTTTCCGATGTTCACATTCGCTCAGTTCCCCGAAGTCTACTCACAAGAAAATACATCGGGAGAGATGAGCTGCTGTCAGAGAAGAGTTTACATACCGCCGGAATTCCTCCAGCTCATCGATGACGAAGAGCTCTACGAGATATAAAACCATGAACGCGCGTCGATATGACTGGCGCCAGCGGTGAACCGTCAACCTGGTCACCGCCTGGAACCTCGTCGAGCTCCTTTCACGCGTAAGAGTGCTCAGAGTCGAAAGAGAGAGCTTCTGGAAGCATTTCTCGAAAAAGAGAAGCATTATTTTTTTTCGTGTCGACATGAAGTTGGTTCCGCCAAATGTTTTGATAGTAAAAGTGCGCCTACAGAGCTCATACTAAGACAGAGAGGCCCTCATAGTCGTTTACAGGTGCGAAAAATCTGCTTTCTAACAGCGAATTGTCAAATATCTTTGCAAAAAATTGCAAAACCACCGAAAAGTTGTCAAATTTTCTCTTGTGGTCGGGTCGGCAAACTAGCTCCATCCCGCGCCGGAATTCCTCTAGCTCATCGATGCCGAAGAGCTCTACGAGGTACTGGGCGCCGGCGGTAAACCGTCAACCTTTGTTTTGCGGACTTTGCGGTCGACTGCGCAGGCTTTCCAGCCTAGTCGGAGCAAGGAGCGGACGCATCCAAACAGGCAAGGCGTGAGTGAGCACAAACTCTTATTCACATCAAACCAATCCGAAATACGCATGTTCAACCCGCCGTATGACAAGAGGCGTATGCTCAACGTCACATGTGAAATAATCCACGAATTAGACGGGGAAACAACCCGTGGAAGAACGTCACCTGAAGAATATGGGGGGCTCCTGCCCTTTACACACCTGAAGCGCTTAGTGGGGCCCACAGCGGGCCGTGAAGCCATCATGGCTCCAGCGAGAGGTCAAACAGAGAGATAAAGTGAGGAAAACAAGAACAGGTGAGATACAAGCATTACAGCCTTCGCTGTTCTTGAACCGACAGTTGCATACAAGTGCGCACGAATAGCTTCATCCCAACTTGTCGAAACTCCTCGGGCGTCCGAAGAATATTATTCGGTAATCGCTGCACTTGGAAACCTCAAGAAACTTGGCCATCTCGGCGCGGTTCATTTGTCCTGTCAAGAACCTGTGCACCTCGAAGAATCCGAGAAGATCCTCCAGCGTCGCTTGCACATTCTGGAGCATCTCATACAGTTTCCGAACATAATCTTTTTGGGCCTTCTTTGTAGGGAACCAACGTTCTGTCACCAGCTTATCAAACAAATCCATTCCGTTCTTTAAATACTGGATCGCATTCAACTCGTTGATGCTGGCAACAGCGTCAATCCACGCTTTGACATCGGCAATGGTGGCCTGAGAGCACGTCGATGTCCCCTTGACCTTGTCACGATCTCTCCCTCGAGCCCTCTGGCGCGACTCCTTCGGTACCTCATCGAGCGTGACGGGACGATTCAGACACCCCTGGGACGCTCCTGACAAGGCGCGGCTATCAGAATCAGACTGCACGTTCGGAGAAGACTCCGCACTCGAGGGTGCCCCCAGGTCCTCCTCCGCCGCCACAGTCACTTTCCCAAGAAGAACTCCTGAAGCTCCTCCCTCCATCCCAACGACACTATCTGTCTGACAGCCGACTTCACAATGAAAGTCCGCAACATCAACCGTCTGCACTCCAACATCAACCAGCGATTCAGAAGCCTGCACTCCAATATCTACATCAACCAGCGATTCAGAAGCCTGCATACGGCAAGAAAAATTATCCGAAACAGTCATAATGTCGGCCTCCTCCTCCTCCTCCTCCAAACTGCGTTTAACAACAGGTGGATCGCGCAACAAGAGATAATCTAGAACCAAATCGACAGTCGCCCGCTCCAGCCCTGGTGGTGGGAGACACGTAGGTGGCACCAAACCATCCAGAGGCAAACGAATAGGTAAATGCACACAGTATCCGTTTTGAACAGCCAGCGCCCGACGCATAATGCGAGCACTTGCACTCCGTACGTGTGGCATAACGAAAGATTGCAGAGACTGCCTCGGAAGCACCCAGCAAAACAAATCAATTGAAGACAACTCAAGGCGATCAAACGTGTCAAATGAATGGCAGCGCAATATCACTCTAGGCGACAAACGTGTAAAACAAATCAATTGAAGACCACTCAAAGCGATCAAACGTGTCAAATGAATGGCAGTGCAATATCACTCTAGGCGACAAACGTGTGACTCCCTGACGCGCACTCGATCCCACTGGAGGTTACCCAGGCAGAGGGGATCAAATGTCAAGCGCCTTGAGCCGAGATTTTCTTGAGCCGGTACTCGTTTGTTACCTTCAACCTTTGTTACCGCCGGGGGACTCGTAGAGCTTCCTGACAATATATACTGTCGAACAAAATGCAGAGAACGAGAAGTTTTCCAGCCCAAGCGATTTCAGACCTCTCGATGCAATAACCGAACGCCCCCGATGCTTCTGGATTTTTTTTTTCTGTACGAGCTCTGTAGCCCTCCAACGACCCGAGTTACGTGCGTAAATCGACAGCACCTCTCAAGATGACTCGAACAATACGAATAGTTTGGCAAACCTAGCTCGAGTATCAGACCAAGTTCAGGGCTCTGAATGCGATAGGCGGGCGCGTCTGATGTCTCCGAATCGATTCCTGTGATTACCAGCCCTGCAGCCCCCCTACAGCCCGAGTTAATTAAGTGCAGAAAACCGACAGCACCACTCAAAATGACTCGAACAATACGAATAGTTTCGCGGACCTAGTTCGGGCAGCAGACCGAGTTCCGAGCTCTGGATTCGACAGGCGGACGCGCCTGATGTCTCCAAATTGAGTATGGTGACTACCAGCACTGTAGCCTCCCCTCAAACCGAGTTAAGTACACAAAACCCACAGCACCTCTCAAGATGACTCGAACAATACGAATAGTTTCGCGATTCTGGAGCGGACGGCAGACCGAGTTCAGAGCTCTGGATTCAATATACCAACACGAACGATGACTTTGAATCGGTTTCTGTAAGTATCAGCTCTATAGCTATCAATAACTCGAGTTAATTACAGAAAACCGAGAGCGTCTGTCAAGACGACTCCAATGATACGAATAGGTTTGCCTAGCTCGGCTAGCAGACCGAGTTCACACCTCTGGATTCAACAGGCGAACACGCCTGATCATTCTGAATCGATTAGCTGTGCTTACCAGCTCTGTAGCTGTCCTGTACCTCGAGTTAAGCCCAATATAACGACAGCGCGTATCAAGATGACTCGAAACGGCCGATCCCGCCAGTGTGCTTTTTGGCAATAAAAGGTACCCGATCGAGCTGAGATCAAGATGGCGAGCGGGAATAAGATCAAATATCACGGGAAAAAATACTAGAGCTCAAACGAATTGAGGAATTTCGAGAACAAAATTTTCAACCGACCAAAAGTCACCAAAACATCCGTCGAGACTGGGCGCCGGCGGTAAACCGTCAACCTTTGTTACCGCCGGGGGACTCGTAGAGCTTCCTGATCATACATAATCTTAGAAAAGTTGTAGAGAACGAATAGTTTTTCAGCCCCAGCGATTTCAGACCTCTCGATGCAACAGCCGAACGCCACTCATACTTCTGGATCGTTTTCTGTGCGTACCAGCTCGTAGCTAAAACAGCCCGAGTTCAATGCAGAAGAGGGACGAAATCTGCCAAGGTAACTTGAAAAATGCAAACAGCTTTGCGGAGCTAGTCCGAGAGGCAAGCCCAGTTCAGACCTCTGGATGCAACAGACGAGCGCGCAGAATGATTTCGAATCAGTTTCTGTGCGCATCAGCTGTGTAGCTCTCCTACAGCCCGAGTTATGTGCGAAAATCGACAGCACCTGTCAAGATAACTCGAACAATACGAATGGGTTCGGGAACCTAGCTCGAGTAGCAAACCGAGTTCAGACCTCTGAATGCGACAGGCGGACGCGCCTGATGTCCGAATCGATTCCTGTGACTATGCCCTCTGCAGCCCCCCAACAAACCGAGTTAAGTACAGAAAACCGGCAGCACCTCCCAAGATGACTCGACCAATACGAATAGTTTCGCGAACCTAGCTCGAGTAGCAGACCGAGTTCAGACCTCTAAATGCGACAAGCGAACGCGCCTGATGTCTCTGAATCGATTCCTGTGATTATGAGCCCTGTAGCCCCCCCTACAGCCCGAGTTAAGTGCAGAAAACCGACAGCACCTCTCAAGGTGACTCGAACAGTACGAATAGTTCGCGACCTAGATCGGGCAGCAGACCAAGTTCAGAACTCTGCATTAACAGACAAACGCGCCCGATGATTCTCAATCGGTTTCTGTGAGTATCAGCTCTGTAGCTGTGCTACAGCTCGAGTTAAGTACAAAAAAACCGACAACGTCTGTCAAGATGACTCGAATAATACAAACAGGTTTGTGGACCTAGCTCAGCTAGCAGACCGAGTTCAAACCTCTGGATGCGACAGACGAACGCGCCTGATCATTCTGAATCGTTAAGGTGTCATCACCAGCTCTGTAGCTGTCCTGTATCTCGAGTTAAGTCTAATATACCGACAGCGCGTATCAAGATGACTCGAAACGGCCGATCCCAGCACAGTGCTTTTCGATAGTAATATATATATATATACATATATATATATTCACCCGATCGAGCTGAGATCAAGATGGCGAGCGGAAATAAGATCGAATATCACGGTAAAAAATACTAGAGCTCAAACGAATGTTCAAATTTTGAGAACATAATTTTCAACTGAGCAAAAGTCATCGAAAGTTCCGCCGAGATTTTCCGAGCCAACTTGCCCGCCAGTGCTTCCGAATTAATCTTTCGCTTCCAGCTGCTAGCTTAGGGAAGCTCTACGAGTCATTTTTCTTGCCAACTAGCTCTCCAGCGTCCCGGAAACCATGAACGCGTGTCGATATGACTGAAACCCGCCGACGGTTCCGTAATATTCCCGGAGAGCTCGCTGAGAGCTAGAGGGTTTAAGATAAGAAGCCGGTCGTTGGTGGTGCCCGCCAGCAGCCCATCTTCGCCGGTCCAGAATCCCCGCGGGTCGACCAACTGGCGCCGGCGGTGAACGGTCACCCTGGTCACCGCCGGGAACCTCGCAGGGCTCATCTCACTGGTAAGAGACCGAAGAATCGACACAGAATGAAAAAATGATTTTTCGAAAATCTTCATGTTCGATTTTTTCGATGTTCATATTCGTTCAGTTCCCGGAAGTAGACTCTCAAGAAAACGCATCGGGAGAGCTGAGCTGCTGTCAGAGAGGAGTTTATATGCAAATGCAACGCTCAAGATGTGCTTTCTCAAAATAAATGGTCAAATATCTTTCAATGTTTCGCAAAACCAACCAAAAGTCATCCATTTGTTCTTTCTGGCCGGGCGGTCCAGCTAGCTCCACCCCGCGCCGGAATTTCTCTGGCTCATCGATGCCGAAGAGCTCTACGAGGTACTGGAACCGGCGGTAACCATCAACCAGGTTACCGCCGGGGTCCTCGTAGAGCTCTTTTCTCCTACGGCGCTCCTCGGTACATATGGATGAAGACTCTGGGGAAGATCCCCAAAACTCGAAAAAACACGTTTATGTTTTATCGAAAAACGGTTCCGCCAAGTGTTTTGAAAGCAATACTGCCCCTACGGGCATGAGAATTCATTGGCGAACGCGAAATAACCCACTACAGGTGCGAAAAATACCAGTTCTCAAAATGAATGTTCAAATCTCTCAGAAAGTCTCCGACCGACCCAAAGTTCGCATTCTCCATCGGGTCCGGGTCGGCCAACTGGCGCCGGCGGTGAACCGTGAACCTGGTCACCGCTGGGAACCTCGTAGAGCTCATTCACGCGTAAGAGTGCTCGGAGTCGAAAGAGAGCGCTTCTGGAAGCAGTTCTCGGGGGGGAAAAAAAAAAAAAAAAAAAAAAAAAAAAAAAAAAAAAAAAAAAAAAAAAAAAAAAAAAAAAAAAAAAAAAAAAAAAAAACGTGCCGACATGAAGATGGTTCCGCCAAGTGTTTTGATAGTAAAAGTGCGCCTACAGAGCTCATACTAACACAGAGAGGCCCTCATAGTCGTTTACAGGTGCGAAAAAACTGTTTTCTCAAAATGAAGTGTCAAATATCTTTCAAAAAATTACAAAACCACCCAAAAGTTACCACTTTGTCCTCTCTGGCCGGGTCGACCAACTGGGCGCCGGCGGTAAACCGTTGACCTTGGTTACCGCCGGGAGACTCGTAGAGCTTCCTAGCTCGACTTAAGTTGAGAATACCGACAGCACCTACCAACATTCCGACTTATAGAAAAAATGTTTTTTAACTTCTGAATGCGACAGGCGGACGCATCTGATGTCTGCGAATCGACTCCTGTCATTACCAGCCCTGCAGCCCCTCTACAGCCCGAGTTAAGTGCAGAGAACCAACAGCATCTCTCAAGATGACTCGAACAATAGTTTCGCAGACATAATTCGGGCAGCAGACCGAGTTCGGAGCTCTGGATTCGACGGGCGGACGCGCCTGATGTCTTCAAATCGATTCCTGTGACCACCAGCACTGTAGCCCCTCAGCGCGAGTTCAGTGAAGAAAACCGAGAGCACTTCTCAAGATGGCTCGATCAATACGAATAGTTTCGCGATTCTAGATTGGGCAGCAGACCGAGTTCAGAGCTCTGGAGTCGACAGACAAACGCCACTGATGATTTTGAATCGCTTTCTGTAAATATCAGCTCTATAGCTTCCCTACAGCTCGAGTTAAGTACAGAAAACCGAGCGTTCCTGTCAAGATGGCTCGAATAATACGAATAGGTTTGCGGACCTAGCTCGACTAACAGACCAAGTTCAGACCTCTGGATTAACAGGCGAACGCGCCTAATCATTCTACATCGATTAGCTGTGCTTACCAGCTCTGTAGCTGCCCTACAGCTCGAGTTAAGTACAAAATACGACCACACGCATCAAGATGACTCGAAACGGCCGATCCCGCCACAGTGCTTTTCGATAGTAATATTCACCCGATCGAGCTGAGATCGAGATGGCGAGCGGGAATAAGATCGAATATCACGGGAAAAAATACTAGAGCTCTAACGAATGGTCAAATTTTGAGAACAAAATTTTGTAACTGACCAAAATCACCAAAAGTTCCGTCGAGATTTTTCGGGACAACTAGCTCTCCAGCGCGCCGGAATTACTCTTAGCTTCCAGCAATAACTGGCGCCGGCGGTGAACCGTCAACCTGGCTACCGCCGGGAACCTCGTAGAGCTCATTTCACGCGTAAGAGTGCTCGAAGTCGAAAGAGAGAGCTTCTGGAAGCATTTCTCGAAGAAAAGAAAAATATTTTTTTCGTGTCGAAATGA